GATGTTTCAACAAATGGGTGCCACATTGGAGGCATTCACTCATCTATGCCAGTAATTTGTAAGACAGCTACTTGGCCAACTGATTGGAAGAGATTCCTATCCGTACCCATTCCAAAGAAAGATGCTCCAACATAATGTATGAATTATCAAATAATATCATTAACATCACATCCAAGTAAAATCTTGCTGAAAATAATTAAAAAATGGTTGTAGCAGTATATTGACAGAGAACTTCCAGAAATGCAAGCTGGATTCAGAAGAGGACACAGAATGAGGGATATTATTGCTGATGTCACATGGGTCTTGGCTGAAAGCAAAGAATACCAGAAAGATGTTTACTTGTGTTGTACTGACCATGCAAAAGCATTCAATTGTGTGGACCATAAAAAAATTATGGATAACATTGAGAAGAACGGGAACTCCAGAACACTTAATTGTCCTCATGAGGAACCTGTACACAGACCAGGAGACTGTCATTCAAACAGAACAAGAGAATACTGCATGTTGAAAAATCAGGAAGTGTGTGTCAGCGTTGTATCCTTTCACCATACTTACCCAATCCCTATGCTTAGCAAATAATCTGAGAAGCTGGACTATATGAAGAAGAATGCAGCATCAAGATTGGAGGAAGACTCATTAACAGCCTGCAATATGTACATGACACAACTTTGCTTGCTGAAGGTGAAATTGACTTGCTGAAGGTTAAGATGAAGATGACTGATGAAGACTAAAGACTACAGTCTGCAGTATGCATTACAACTCAACATAAAGAAAACAAAAATATGCACAACTGGACCAATAAGAAGCATCATGATAAGTGGAGATAAGATTGAAGTTGTCAATGATTTCATATTACTTGGATCCACAATCAACACCCATGGAAGCAGCAGCCAAGAAATCAGATGTTGTATTGCACTGGGCAAATCTGCTACAAAAGACCTCTTTAAAATGTTGAAGAGCAAAGATGTGACTTTAAAGACTGAGGTGAGCCAACCCAAGCCCTGATATTTTCAATTGTCTCATCTACATGTGAAAGCTGGACAATGAATAAGACAAGTGAAATAAAATTGATGCTTTTGAGTTGTGGTGTTGGTGAAGAATACTGAAAATACCATGGCTGTCAGAAGAATGAAAAAATCTGTTCTGGAAGAAGTGCAGTTGGAATGCTCCTTAGAAGTGAGAATGGCCAGACTTTCTCTCACTTATTTTGGTCACGTGTCAGAAGGCACCATTCCCTGAAGAAGGATATCATGGTTGGTAAAGTCGAGGGTCAATGAAAAAGGGGAAGAACTTGAAAGAGATAGACTGGCACAGTGGCTGCATTGATTGGCACAAGTATAGCAAGGACTGTGAGAGTGGCACAGGACTGGGCAGTGTTTCCTTCTGTTGTACGTAGGGTTGCTATGAGTCAGAGCCAACTTGATGGCACCTAAAAACCCAACACAGTATTGCTGAGGTCAATTTGTATTATTTACATTTAATTGTCAGCTTCTCTTGAGGAGGTCTAGTGGTGCAGTGGTTAAAGCATTTGGCTGCTAACACAAAAGTTGGCCGTTAGAACCCAACAACAGCTGCACAATAGAAAGATGAGGGAGTCTGCTTCCATTAAGATTTACAACTTCTGAAACCCTATGGGGTTGTTCTCCATCCTACAGAGTCGCTTTGAGTTAGAATTGACTCAGTGGAAGTGGGATTGTATTTTTGTTTTCTTTGAATTCTTGAAGGACTACAATAAACTACTTTGACATGTTGAACTTTCCTCATTCAAACCCTAGAACTAGAAAAAGATATATGCATGATTAGCAGTCCTTTTGATTATATAATGCCTCATTAGTTTTATAAAACTCCATAATCCCTGGCCCAGACCAATGAAACAATTTTCCCTAGATTACATAGTGAGAAATTCAGGGGTGGTGACAAGGGAACAAAATTTTTAAATAACTACCTAGAGGAATCCCATGATTTTTTACACTGAGAATAATGATATAAAAAGCAGTTTATAGAAAGAAGGGGGAAGAGAGAGAGGTGGAAACAGAAAGAGAGAAGGCAAGGCTCTGGACCATGCAGTCCCAGAGAGGAAAAATTATACATGTGTATATATATACAAACATCAACCACATACACAAACATACGGTGCTAGTGTTTTTGTTAGGAGCTCTGGTAGCATAGTGCCTAAGGCACTGACTGCTAACCAGAAGGCTGGCGGTTCAAACCACCAGCCACTCCTCAGAAGGAAAGTTGGGCAATCTACTTCTGTAGTGATACCACCTCGGAAACCCAAGGAGGGGTCGCTATGAGTCGAGACTGACTCCACCGCACATAACAACAACAAAAACATTGTTTTTGTTAGTATCTGGTGCAATGTTTATCATAGTAAATGAAACAAGAAAAAATAAACCTCTTAAACTTTATTTTCATATAAGGATTACAAAGAATGCCATTTTTATGAACGTAGTCTATCCTACCACATAAAGAATAAATTAGTTTAAATTCTGTTAGTCAAGGGGCAGAGGGTTCTATAACCGACTGCACATTTTTTTCTTATTTTGTAGGCCCCAAGACCTGGTTTAAATGGAGGAGAAAAAGTAATTCTATTAGATTTAATAAGAAAGTACCAGAGTTGAGGAGGTTTTTATAAACTATTTTGTAGTTAGGCGAATACCCTTCCATATTGAGAGAATTTTGAGCCCCATAATCTTTGAGAATCAAAGGTACGTTTTGGAGGGAACCTGTGTCTGCGTGCACCTGCCTCAGGCACCTATGTCGGTGGATGCCCTTAACTCAATAGCTGTTCGTAGGATTAATGGGCGGGATGAGCAAGCACGTGTGCACCACCCACTCGCACGGGGGCAGAGAAAATTAATTCTGTGTTTATATTGTAGTATTTAATATATAATCTATCCAAGTTTGGGAAACATATTAAACAAATTAAAACATGAAAAATTGCTAGAATATAAATTTTTATTTTTGTATTCACAAAAGAGAAATCAATATTTAAAGAAATCCATTAAAGAGATTTAAATTTATTTTCTTCTGCCTTTATTCATCTCTTACCACCACTTTCTTGTTATTGTCATTTAATACTGAAGTCCTGCCTTTCTCGAGGTAACACATGTCACAAATGCACATAACCTTTTCTCCAAAAGATTAAAGAGTTTGTCAGGAAGCTCTTGAGCAACACATTTCACTCTTATATAAATGACTGATACTCAGCAGTTTTGCTAGGACTATTTTATTTTAAAAAAGCATCATTTGCTATCCCAAATGAATTTTCCAAGTAATATGTATCATTTCTTACATAAGAGTAAGAGATAAATTTTAAGCAGCAAAGGACAGAACATTGTGAAAGGCACAGAAAAGCACTTTCTGACTTTTAATTAATAAAAACAAGTTCAGTTTCGTTGCTGATGCAATTTTGTCCGTGGCTAGGCTTACACATCTTATCTGTGTGGTGGTATTTCCCCTCCTTCCATATTTAGCCGAGAAAAATGATTATTGCCTCAATTCTAAATATCTCATTAATCTAAATGTCTACTACAACTTAGAAAAAATAATTCATTTTAAAAAGAAAACCCAACATAATGAGTTTGTTGTGGAAAAGTGCAGAAAACGTGACTGCATATATTGGCCCTAAATCAATATTAAAATTATATACATCTATGAGGAATTTTTCCCAACATGTATACCAACATTACAGAGCATATGGCACTGTATGTGTTAGAGTCATCATTATCATCAAAACAATATTATCTTTAAAAGAAGGAAAATCTTCATCAATCTTAGAATCACAATTTAAAGAATTACATCACCACTGCCACACTGGCTAGACACCATAATTTTTTTTCTTTTAAAGACTTTGGAAATAGAATTATGTTGCATTTCTTACTTGATTTCAGCAGATCTTGAAAATTAAGAAAAATATATATGATTAATTTTAAATATTTAAATGTGAGTTTAAAGAAGTATTTCTTTATATTCAAATAAAAATATTAACCATATTTAGCAAAATAAGTTACAAAACATGAATAAGCAATTATGGGAATATTTATTTTCCTAATAGTATTTATTTCTAAGAAAATAAGGGCATTTGACTATTTTAAATGTATAAGTAATAGGAAATATTAATACAAATATTCCACGGTATTTGTGAAAGCCAAATTTAATTTCCTGAATCTAGTTTTTACATTTGGATTCATGAGCATATTTATGGATGTTGTAATTTGTTATTTTCTCAAAAGTATATAACATTTAGTTCTTCCCAAATTAATAAATATATCTACCCACATTAAGCCAAATGATTTTTTATTTTTATACTTCTCCACCAATCATCTGTTGTTCTTTACTACCATAGAGACAATGCAATTCTCACAAGAAACTATTCTAATACAAAAAAATTTTAAAGACAATTTTCCTTGTAGCATGATTTTTAAAATAAATTGATTATACATTATATGTTTATAATAACCAATATAGAATATAAATATTTTAATAAATAATTTATCAGCATTGAGTTGTTGGGTTTATATGTTTATGTAATATGACTTGATTTGTACTCATATATGCAAATAATTCTTCATATGTCAATGGAGATTTAAAAAAAAAGTTAATAGATACCAAAATGAGAACAAATATTTACCTATTTTTCTGAAAGAAATAACCATTTAAATGTTTATTATGTTTTATATTTAATATTTATTTAATATAAGCTATTTTGAATGAATACTTTTATTCTTTTGTCACTGAAATATTTAAATATATGTATATATGTATCATAAAATAAAATATACATTTTATTATAAGGAACAATCATTGTTTTGGAATAAAACATCCTATTTTAATAAAATAATAACAGCAACACAACACAACAGGTATAATTTGAAGATATTAATGGTAAAATCAACTTATGGCTGAATATCTATCTATCTATCTATCACATTAAGTATGAACTATATGTAATGGCTAAAAATGATCAAAATGCAAGTATGTCTGAGTTCACCTACCTTGAGGACATCTCCTTGTGCTAAATGAAATGTTCTGGCTGAAATATTGATTCCTTTTCCTGCTTGAACCTGAATGCTATAAATGCATTCATGGTTGTTTTCGTAGTTGAGTGGATAATTTGGAGAGAGCAAAATCCCTTCATTATTGGTTGCAGATGCACCACATTCAGCTGCAGGTAAAACAGAATATTGAGGTACAGTTTAATGGAAAGCATTATCATCTTCAAGTAATGTAATGTATGGAAATGTTAATGATTTTATTGTACCCAGAGCCTAACTAACAAGAAAATAATGTAGAGAATGGTCACGTGTTGTCGACGACATGCTCGCCCCCTCAGAAACAATGGGAAGAAATGACTACTGTCCATGGACTGGACACTTGTGTATGGAAAGAGATATACAAGAATTGCAGTTTGTTTGTTTATTTTTCCTGGATGAAATAACAGCATGGGAACGGATGAGAGCAAAACAATTCAGGAAGTATTTTAACTGTTTAGATCTCCAGTAACTTTTAAATTTAAAATTAATTCTTGCATAAAGAGTTGAAAGACCAATTTTATTTTAGAATGATGATAATTTGATCTTTTTAAAATTTTACCTTTCTTGAATTTAACCAATATTCCACATTCTCTGATTCAAGCTCTTTAATTAGAATTAAAAAAAGGAACTAATTATACATCATCATTGAAACTAGACATTTCCTACTAACCAAAAATTGTACCAAGTTGGACGTCTTTGGAAATTCTATCAGCTTTCCAAATTTAGAGGCTAGAAAAGAGTAGGCATTCAGATAATCACTATTTTCGGTATCCAGGACTGACTACGCAAAATGAGAATGAGTCCAAAGAATTTCAAAAGACTCTATTACTTTATAGACTTGTAGAAATGTTGGAAAATCAATAACAAACCCTTATAATTCTACTATGTGCTCCTGTATTTCAGAGATTCAGTGAAATCACTGTTCTATCTAGTAGCTTGCTTCTTATTACCATATCTTAGTGGTTAGGAAGACTTACATTTTCCAACAGAACAGAAAAAGAAAGTAAGTCATTATAGTCCAGAAATATGATTTTATAAATAATGTCTCATGACAACAATCTGGGGCAGACTACAAGGTGAAGGATCATGAATTATTTTACCTTTTAAATGGTTAAGCATGAACAAAAACAAGGCAAAAAGAAAAAGCCTAGTGAGCAAATGAAAAGGATCAAGATGGTACACTCAGAATAATATCAACATGATTTAAAATAATAAGAAGAAGTATTTTATTTTATAAAAATGACGTGAGGCTGACAATCAATCAGACACATGAAAAGTATCACACAATAGTTTCTTCAAGTTAAAAGGGAAAAAGCAACAAATAAAAAACAAAATAAAAATTCACAGACATGTAATATTGATGTAAATGATTTTTATTTTAGTGTTACTTAAATATGATCAAAAACAAAAATTGATATGTCCTAATGCTTTTATCTGTATACAATTATAATATCAAAACAAGTTTATAAATATAGAAATACTACAAAAAAATTAAATTAAAAATAGTAACATTGAACTAATCTGGTACAAGATTTTGTTTTTTTGAAGTCAAATCACCATTGAAGATGCAGACCAGGAGCCAGCTGCTCGAATACAGGCTTCTGGAATTTGGTATGCCTTTCAATTACACTGCTGTGTGTGATTCAACTCTCTCTTGCCTTATTCACTTCTGAACTGATTTCATCTGTAAGGGACAATATCATGTCATGTGCCCTTCACTTAGGGAGAATCATTTACATTTTAAATCTGTCTTTTTTCTCACTAGCTAAAGAGGATCCAGATTTGCTTGTGGGGACATGAAGAAAAATGTGTCTGGGTTATACAGGTGACCCGATATGTACATATGTTTAAAAAGTTAGATTATTTAATAGAAAACAAAATTGTTTTCTACAAATGTTGTATTGAGCACATGCTCTTGGATGTGAGTTTGTAAAACATTGCTGTACAGATTAAGGGTTCAGGCTTTGGAATCGAGAGGCTCGGGTTCAAAACTAAGCTTTACTTTTTTTTTCTTAGCCGAATGGCTTCAGTGACTTATTTCCTCTAGGTGAGTCTCAATATTATTATAACATTGGAAATAATAATCCCTTCCTCAAAAGGGTGTTTTGATTGTGTACTTAGGTGTGTGGAGGGTGGGAAGGTGAGAGGGAATTGATAATGTATGTAGAACATTTAGCCTGGTGCCCAACACACAGCAAGAGATTAGTAAACTAAAGCTATCATTAGGAATGCTAATGGTGACAAAAAGTTACATACTATTCCATTGTGAAAAAAGCTATCCAGATGTAGACAGACACTTACTGTGAAAAAGCTATGGGGCTCTTCATAATTTTGTAGAATTACTGATGATAGATTGCTTTAACAACTTGTATAAACAGAGCAAAAACCAATACTCCCCTCTCTGCCCACAACAACAACAACAAAAGTCAAGTGATAAATTACTGAAGCTACCCTTTAAAATATACTAACAATTTATTGTTAGTCTCACTATAAACATTGTCAGGCTTATATGATGTAGTTAAAGGAGATTATTTGCCTTTTATATTGAAAATAATCAGCTTTTGACATACGTTACTATCTCAATTGGTTTAAAATGACCTACTGGGAAAAATAGGATCATAAGCTAAATCAGAGTGGAAAAATTAAGGAAGAAATCTAGATTAATTTAGTACCTTCCTCGTTAATGAGAATCGACTATATAATTTGTGGATCCCCGTGTAAAATGAAAATGCATAGCTCCTTGTTCAAAACTTATTAAGAATTTCAGGAAAGCAATAGTAGAGCATTCAACCAAAACTGGGCCCTTCAGATCATATGCCTTTTTCTAGTGCTCAGGTTTCACACCCATGAAACTCTCCCTGCACGTATGCCCTATAAGAACCCTGCACGGTAAACCGTTTTTCCACTGTGATAGATGAACACTAAACTGAACTTTCTTGGCTAAATTGAATAGATATTAAGTATTAGACCTGGCATTTACATTCTCAACTATCACTACCCATGCTGTTAAAAGACGGAACATGTCATTTCTTTTTCACACCAAAATACATTTTTAATTTGAAAGAAAACCTTATTAATTATCCCAGACAACAAGTAAAAACTAAGATTAACTGAGGAAAACAAGTACATAAGGTCATTTTTCTCCTTTCATTTTAACTTCTATTCATACTACTCAAAGACTTCCTATTGAACATTAGTAAGATTATCATAAGTGATTGGGGTGTGTGATAGCGGTCAGAACACATTTATACCACATACAATTTATAAATCTATGTTCTATTATACAAAATAGTTAATTTTCAGTATGATTGTCTTTTATCAAGACAAAATCTTGAAACAGAAAATGAAAACCTGTTCACAATATTCTGTATATAGACACAGGAAAGTACACTTACTTATTTTTTCAACATATTTTAATTAAATAAAATTTTCAACTAAGTTAAAATTTCATTTTAGCACAATACCAATCTCCAGATTCTGATTTATAAATTATTTTTCATACAATTTCATCTCTGAATTTAAAATACACCAACACTGACCTCCAATATGCAATGGGGTACTGAAGAGCCCTACACAACTTCTTTAAGCACTTTAGCTATGGTGGTCTGCTTTTTTTTTTTTTTTAAATTTTATTGTAATTTGGGTGAAAGTTTATAGAGCAAATTCATTTTCCATATAGTAGTTCACATATACTTTGTCTCTTGACATTGACTACAATTTCCCACACTGCAACAGATCCCCTCCCACTTCCTCCACATAGTCACCTCTTCCCTGTGTCCTTCCCTCCATGCACTCCTGCTCCCCGAGCTGTCTCCCTGTGCATACACAGCCCTTCTGTTCTCCCATGATTGTTCTCTCCAAGGAGTGTATCTATCTAATGTAAATATTCAGCTCATGTGCCTGTCTTTTGTTTGGCTGCAAGCCACAGAAGTGGGTTCAATTCCAGACCTAAAGGGCAGCTAGGGAGTCATAGTCTCAGTGGTTCCATCAGGCTCTAGCAGACAAGCAAACCTGTTCCTTTTGTTTTTTTTAAATAAATTTTTAAAATGATTTTGACTTTTGTACCACTCTATACAGGATCTCCTACAGAGATCTCCCTCCAAGTGGTTGACAGTGGTAGCTGGGCACCATCTAGTTCTGGTCTCATAGCCATTTAGGTTGAGAATCATATGGTGTACTAGTCACTTTGACTAATTATTTCCATGTATCTTCGGTTTTCTTCATTCTTCTTTGCTCTGGATGAGAAGACACTCACCGTTGCATCTAGATGGCCTCTTGCAAGCTTTTAAGATCTCAGTCGCTACTCACTAAAGCAGAAAGAATATTTTTGTGTAGCATGTTACGCCAATTAAGCTTAATGATGACTGTTACTATAGTCCCGAGCCCACAAGTCCAACTACTCACTCCCTCCTGGTAGCTGGCTGTGGCCAAGAAATGGCTACAAACTTGCCTCTCTTCAGCTGTACTATATGCCGGGGAATTCTTACAGAACATAATACACTTGTAGAAACACTGTCTGCCGACCCTATACTTGATCATGGGCACTCTCCTCCCTGGATAGATATACCTAATAGTTCAACCTGTGTACCCATCTATCCACTTGTATATCCATATTTGCCTTCACTGACAATACAGTACTGTATGTGCAAAAGTGTTCATCTTTGTTGTCTGTACCTCCCATGCACCTCTCAATGGCACCGGGCTGATGATTCACATTTGGTATATTGCCCTTCTCTTCATACAAATCAATATTTGTCTTTATCTACCTAACAATGTTCCCTCACATCCCTGGTAATGTGAGGGAACATTATCTTCCACATATAAATCTTTCCTTGACTTTTTACAATAATGGACTAATACAATATTTGTCCTTCTGTGATTGACTTATTTCACTTAGCATAATGTCCTCCAAATTCATCCACACTATGTGGTGTTTTGCCAATTCTACATTATTCTTTAGGGTTGCATGGTATTCCATTGTGTGTATGTATGTACCATAGTTTGTTTGTCCATTCTGCTGATGAACACTTAGGTTGTTTCCATCTTTTGGCTATTGTAAATAGTGCTGCAATGAATATGGGTGTGCATATATCTATCTGCTCTTGTCCTGGCTCTCACTTCTTTAGGATAT